CAAAGGACACTTACTGTACCTATGTACAACTTGAGAGCAGATAAACTGCTTCTGTGCCCTTGCTGAATTGGTAATTGGTTCCATTTACTTGAAGTAGTAAAAATGTTTGTTAACCTCCTTGGCGGTATGATTCTTTCCGATTTTTTGTGCTGAAAGCGGTACCATTTTTTTGCATGGAAATATGTAGTTTTTTATTGTAGGCTGTAATTTTTAGGAATAACTCACTGAAATCAGTCCAAACAAGAGTCTATTAAACATTCCGGATATGATAAAATTTGAAACACGAAATCATAAATTATAATTTAATAAATAATCATAAAAAATAATATAATAATAATAAATTTAATTCAATAATATAATCAAACCAAAAACACTGAAATTTGAAATACAGAGGCAAATTCGCACATTGCTGAGCAAAGTCGCAAAATCGTTTTCAGTGTCTGATGACGAATTTCCCCACGAATCATTATCATCAATTCTGCAAGTGGTTCTGATTTACTGTCGCTGCTCTAAAACCGCTTTTGATGTAAAGGGACGCTTTTTGGCTGCCATGGACTTTTCTAAGTTTCCAGGCAGAAAGAACAGTCAAAATGCAGGCAGGGCACAGGACAAAGCAGTAGGGACAAAATATATGTGAAATGCATTGAAACAGCAATGACAGCAAAAATTACATTTTTTAAAAATTTCAAATTTCCCGCCGGTTCCGGCGCCCGTACGTCTCAACGTCACAGGGACCGGAACACAGAAGTCGGATGCCGGCATCGGCCGGAGGAGATGGCCGGGGACACTTCAGGGGACACATCGTGGGAGCGAAGGACAAGGTAAGCGCTGCAGGGACCCCCAGAGCAGCGCCGCATGGTAAGCCCGAGTGTAGCTCGGGGTTACCTCTTTTGGTATAGAAATTTTACCCCGAGCTACACTCGGGATTACCGCTAAGGAGGTTAAAAAACTAACACTAAAAAAAAATATAAAAGAAATTAAAGAATCCCTCCAACCATTTACACAAAAAACTTAGAAATTAGAATTTAGAATTTTCTTTAAAACAATTCCTCCATGCTAAAAGCTAAGACTGAAGGATTTAGTATTTTGTTTTTCTTTGCTATTATTTTCCGACATTCAAAAACACAAAACATACTCTATTATAGCCTTTAATGAATATGAAATGCTTTAATTGGGAACTTCTACATTTTACTGTCTGTTATCAAGAGGATAAAATATATATACAAATTACCATATAGATAGAAAAGGCACAGTAACAAATAATATATTTATTTCTCAAGAAATACAAAATTCACAGGATGTTCTTGGATTGACAGATTATGAGCTGTAAAAATAAATAATTCAAACTTTTTAGAAAACAGATTCAAGAACATTAAGAAAAAAAGAAAAATAAATGCTTTGTGTGGATCATAATAGCACAAGTAATTGAAACATCATGTGGTATGGAAGCTAAGAAAAAGAATACTCTTTAAGATCCAAATACAAAACAGAGGATGATCGGTATGGAAATATACAGCACTTGCTTGTAAAAACTGGAGCAGAGAAATGGAATGTAATTTGTTCTCATTTTTCCATTTTGCATAAGAAACGTAAATGCTGTGAACTTATTGATGGCTATAAGCAACATCTTAACCACTTTAATCCCCGAGCCTCTCCACAGGGTTGCAAAAATGATTTTCATTTTTTTTAAACAACCAAAAAAATCACAGACACAAATCTTTGAATAGATATATAATCACTGAAAGTTCACTGTACAAACATTATTTTTACATTTTTGTGGAGTTAAAGAATGATATGCTGTATGTTCATAGGACATTTGACCAAAAGGGTCTTTACTGAGCATAACTAAAAATATAATATTGGCTTCATGTGAAGTTCAGGATACAGATTTAATTATACTATAAATGGGAATTTTAGTGTTTTCCACAGGTTAGAAGCCAGTAAGTAGTTATAATTTTTATAAATCATGACAGATTATCCATCTAGGTGTTGAGCTTTATTGGAAGTTATGGCTTAGATGGCATTTAATCCCTCAGTAAGGGTAATAGAAAAGTTTAGAAAATCAGTTTGCATCTGTGAACACATTGGGAAGTTTGTGCCCTAAAAGTTGCTACAGTTGGGGTTAAATTAGAAATTTGTAAGAATGTGAGTCAAATTGTACAAAGCATTGGACAGAATCACTATATGGAGAAAGCAAAAATAAAATCTCTAGAATCAGTTTGCATTTCATACATCTGAAAACTGAAAAGTATTTTCCTATTTAATATAGTAACTACTTGTGAATAGGCAGATGAAGGGTGAAACTAAAGGGCGAATGCTGTTGAATCTTAGATCTAACCTTATTGATGAAAATTTATATATGTAACTCTTACACTTAGGTAATAATAAATACTCTGTAAAAAAAATTAACAAAGTTCTTCAGGCATATCTTCTACATCTTTTCCCCTTGTTTCCTGCTGTTGCTCCCCAGCCACTATTACATGAAAATCTTGTCTGTCCACTAGTTATTGCTCTGTATTACAGGAACATGTTCAGCTGCTCCTGTATACGTAAACATTTGCAAAAAAGTGTCTGCAAGTGTGACTGAGAAATGTAATGTAACAATGTGATTACAACTAATGTAACAATGTGTTTACAATTCTATTATTAAGTCCATCAGGTGACACATGCTAAAGGATGATCCTGGGGATGTAACCATGGGCTGAAGCTTGTCAGCTGAATAAAGCTTTGCCTATGAAGACATCATTGCAATGTATTTACTCATATTCATATGTAGATGAAATGGATTACCTGTAATCTGCATACAATGTAAGTTAAAGCAACCATACAAGTAATAAACAAAATAAATAAAAATTGTGTTCCTATTTACTCCTTCCTCATAGGCATGTCCCATCGTTGGGGATTGTTTGTATCTATTAAGCCGAAATCTATGACATAGGTAGTTTCTCTGCCGGCAGAGCCTTCCAAAGCAGACAGGTTCCGGTGGTGATTCCAAACTAAAGATGTACCACCAGTTTGGGCAGTAGCAGATGGGTAGTGTTGAAGGCGGAAGATCAGAATATCACATTTGATGTGACAATGACAACAACATTGAACTTACACTGCGCAGAAGAAAGACCTGACAATCTATTTCTGCATTATTCCAAGAAACCTGGATGATGTTGAGACAATAAAGGGAACTGTCATAAAGTGCTGGAAGATGGTCCCCTAGGTTGGAAGGCACTCATCATGTTACTAGGGAAGAGCTGATGGTCACCAAGAGTAAAACCGACCATACATGGGTCAAATTTAGAATGAATTTTCTTTTGAAAATCTTTTCTAAGAATTTTTGTTTGAATTTTGCACCATTAGTGGGTCGCAGAAATGCACAATTTATTTATTTACAATTTATTTTGAGTGGTCGGGCATGTTGAACATTTTTTTGAAAACTGAACAAATTTAGAATCAATGATGGAAGAATCGTGCAAGAAATACGTATAAAGCTGTGACCTGGAAAGAAAAGAAAATTCTTGGCCAAGAAAATTATTTTCTGTTCAACATGAGGAGAAATTGAAGGCTTGGTTGATTGAATTTCGAAATCAATGGTGGCACCATCTGATTGCAAAATGCACATAATTTCCTGATGGAGTGAAAGTATCACAAGCAATTCAAGAGTTTTGATGCCAAGTTTAGAAAGGTAAAGAATGATATTTCAAGAATATTTGTTAGAATATTGAGGCTGAGCACAAAAAAAGGAAAAACCAGATTAGCTTTTCAAGACATTAAGAAGTTAAGGCAGAAATTCCAGCCTAGATTGGGGACACTTAACCGCCTCCTACCCGCCGTATAGGGAAATGGACAGGCGGGAGCTCTCGTTCTGTGAAGACATCATATGACATCCTACCACTGTAGCTGCACATGCACGCCCAGCGATCAGTGGTGCGCTGTGTCCCTCAGACACAGTGGATCACTAATCCAGTAAAGAGCCGATATCATAGACTACCATGTGATCAGCTGTGTCCAATCACAGCTGATCAGATGTAAACAGAAAATGCCGATTGTGGGTAGTCCTCTCCTCTCACCGACAGCGCATGAGGAGAGGAGAGCCGGTAAGCATCATTCCTCAGAGCAGACATCTACACTGATAATCAGTGCCCTGATTATCAGTGCAGCCCCATCAGTGCTACCTTTCAGTGCCCATAATTGACTCCTATCAGTGCCCACCAATGCCACATATCAGAGCCCATCAATGTCACATATCAATGCCCATCAGAGTTGCCTTTCAGTGCCCATTAGTGGTGCCTACCAATGCCTATCAGTGCTGCCTATCAGTGCCTCCTCATCAGTGCAGTGTATCAGTGACCATCATTGCCACCCATCAGTGCCAATCAGTTCCAAATATCAGTGCTAAACAGTGCAGTCAGTGCCACCTATCAATGCCCATCAGTGCCACATATCAGTACCCATCATTGTCGCCTACCAGTGCCACCTATCAGTGCCAATAATTGCCAGTCAGTGCTGCCTATCAGTGCTGCCTATCAGTGCCCGTAGTGCCACATGTCAGTGTCAATCACTGCCACATATCAGTGCCCATCAGTGCTGCCTTCAGTGCTCATCAGTGATTCCTGGAAATGCCCATCAGTGCCATCTATCAGTGCCTCCTCATCTGTGCAGTCTATCAGTACCCATCAGTACCACCTATTAGTGTCCGTCAGTGCTACCTATCAGTGCCCATCATTGCCACCTATCAGTGACACCTATCAGTGCCCATCAGTGCCACATATCAGTGCCCATCAGTTCTGCCTTTCAGTGCCCATCAATGATGCCTGTCAGTAAACATTAGTGCTTCCTGTCAGTGTCTCCTCATCAGTGATGCCTATCATTGCCACCTTTCAGTGCTCTCGATCAGTGCTGCCTATCAGTGCAGCCTCATCAGCGCACATCAGTGAAGGAGAAAAAATTACTTATTAACAAAATTTTATAACAGAAACTAAGAAACATTTTCAGTCTTTTTTAGTTTGCTCAGCAAAAAATAAAAAACCAGTGGTGATTAAAAAGAAAGCTCTATCTGTCTAAAAAAATGAAAAAAAAAAAAAAATTGGTTGGGTACAGTGTTGCATGACCGCGCAGTTGTCATTCAAAGTGTGACAGTGCTGAAAGCTGAAAATTGGCCTGCGCAGGAAGGAGATGAAAGTTCCGGTAGGAAAGTGGTTAAAGACTCTAACGGATTCGATACTGAATTATCCAGACAATATTAAAAGGAGATGGAGAGAGTTTACTGAACATTTATATAAAAAATGCAGTGCGGAGAACATTGTAGAAGCTGAACCAGAAAGCGATGCTGAGGATAAACCAGATATCTTAAAGAAAGTATTCATAGCAGCAATTTAAGATTTATTAAGCAATAAGTCACCAGGTATCACTGGTATCCCAATTGAGTTAATCAGAGGCTCCGAAGATGCTATTATTGCCCATACTCAATTGTATCAATGGATTTGGAAAGAAAAATATGGCCAACATGTTTTTGGCCACTGAAGGTCACTGTTCATTCCTATACTGAAGAAATGGGATATCAAAGATTGTAACAACTACAGAGCAATTGCATTAATTCCACATGCCAGCACAGTATTGCTGAAAGTAATACAACGAAGCATACATTTATACAATGAGCAAGAACTATCTGAAGCTCGGCTGGGTTCAGAGAAGGCCGAGGAACAAGAAACTTTATTGCCAATGTTAGATGGAAAAGTGCAAAGAATACCATAAGACCACATACTTTTGCTTTATTGACTACAGCAGAGCATATGATTGTGTGGATCATGATAAATTGTGGAGGACTCTGTTGCAAATAGGAATACCTAAACACATAACTCATTTGATCAATAGTCTCTACAAAAATCAAGAAGCTGCAGTGAGAACTGAAAATGGCAACACTGACTGGTTTCCAATAACACAAGGCGTCAGGCAGGGATGATCTTGTCACCTTACCTATTCAATCTATATGATGAAGCCATCTTGAAAAATGAAGAGAAGAGTCCCTCAGTATCAAAGTTGGCGGCTGAAACATAAACAACTAGAGCTATCCAGACGACACACCACTCATCACCAGCAGCAAAGAAGATATGCTGTATTTCCTGAGAAAAGTAAAAACCAAAAGCCAAAACATGGGATTAAAACTGGATGATGAAGACTATGAACATAGAAAATGATGATGATTTTGAGCTTGATGGCAATAGAATAGAAGTCGTACAGTATTTTCTCCTGGACTCTTTCATAAACAAAAAAGCAACCGGCAGTGACAAAATACTTCACAGAATAGCACTTGGTAGCCACACAATGAAGACTCTTGACAAAGTATTCAAAGGTAAAGAAAGTATACTCAAAATGAAGATTAGACTCATCCATGCAGCCATCTTCTCAGTTGTCAATTACAGCTTTGACAGCTGGACACAAAGAAAATGGGACAAAAAGAAGACTGACTAATTCTATGTCCAATTCTCCATTTTGCTTTTAATATACTTATCTTTTTCATGACTATTTTTATTATAAGCCTTCATTTGCACGGCTGTAAAAATACACACATACAATTATTTTTAAATTACCGATCTCATTGCAGCTGCATCAGTTTCAATTGAAACATTCAGGTGTGGAAACATGAGTCGCTTTTAGATCTATTACACAGAATCCAAAAATCTGCGCTTTACACATTTACACATATAAACCCATATAAGCAGGTAAATTAAGTCTAAACAAAGGGGAAAAATAAATGATCATAAAAACAAATGATGTACACATATGTGTCTCTACACATTTAAATCATCTATATGCAAGTATTTTACTGGTCATTATGAAGGAACTTTTTTTCTTGAAAACACGTGTAATAGATGTACCGTCCTCCAGATTAGTTAAATAGTTTTTTTTTTTTAGACAGAGACTGAGTAGCAGCCTGGGGAGTGTGGTGGTGAAGTTACCTCAGGACAAGCTTGGAGGCTGTATCAGGTCAGGGCTTCTGGAGCCCTCCTGTCTTTCCAGAAACCTGAGAGGGGAGGAGGCCCAGATTTGCATGTTTGAGGGACTTTGGCTAATCCCCTGGTAGGAGGCTGGGCATGGTGACCATGGCAACCCTCAAATATGGCAGAGCCTGTGGGGGGGGGGGGGGGGGTGGGCAGAGTCGGGTGGAATATTGAGGAAAAGCTGGAGTGTGGAGCCTGGGAAGGGGCCCCAGAAAGGAGATCCCACCTAGAGGAAGGTCACTGGAAAAGAAGATCTCCACTGTCTCAACATCTACTGGGGAGGACAGCCTGTGTAGCAGGGAAGGAGCCAGCCCAATGTAAGGCCTGAAGACAGCCATCAACCCACCAAGCTGACAGGAGAAAAAGTATGAGTACTCTTACACCCCCTGGACCAGAGAAGGGGAGAGGGCAGTCAGATGCAAGACCCAACTAGCTTCTCACTGTTCAAAATTAACAGCTCTTTGGTCCCCTTGCCCAGGGATACCCTCAGGCAGCTGGGTGAAGAGGAGGAATCATCCAGAGTCTGAGGAGGTACACCAATGAGCCTTTGGTGCTCTTCAAGGAAAGATTGTTGCTATCCACATTTTTTGTACATAGTTGCTAAGGAGTTTGTCCTCATCATCTGCAGTTCCTCGGGCATCCCATATACCCCTAGACCCCATCCAAGTTCTAACCCATTAATAAAATCACAAAACCAAGCTCAAGAACTGTTCTTTGACTCCAATGTGCAAAGTGGGGAAAATGTGTGTTGCTTGGCCATGCAGAGCAGAGGTGGACCCAAATCAAATTCAGCGGCCCGTACAAGGGTAGTGCTACATAACATCAGTAAAGGTATTAAGGTCTTGTGAATAAAGCCTTAAGGCTCCACTCAACATATAAAACCCCTTTCTGGGCCAATATAGATTTGATTGAATGTGTCCCACTTTCAGTCAAAAATCTGTTATGGCTGAATCACGCTGACCATAAATGTATTACTAACCTGATCATGCCCCATTCCCTTACCCTTGGCGATAGACTTAAGAACTCATCTAATCTGTACTCACAGCACTCACCACTCTTGTCCTACCTAAAAAACATATATTTATCCAGACTTTGCTTCCCCGTCTTCCTTCCAAACCTGGGCTGCTGTGAAGTTAATAAGACTCTACAGTATAACCACTGCCACAGAATCAAAACCTCAGCTCTCCAGGAATCATATGTTCTATTGAAATATTCCATTACTTATAACTCAAACACTTCTCTGCCCTGTTCTGTAGAACGGGTCAGAATTTGGATACCATGACCCAATTTGAATGTATCTGCAAACGAGACCCCAATACACTAGGACTCATATCTAAACTATACTTGTGGTTACTAGAAAAACCTGGCTGTAATCCCCCTATGTACTTACTGTACATCACTGGGAAGCAGACTTTGTGTTCCAATCCTCTGATGAGATCGCAACTGCAATCTGGACTACCACTAAATCTTCAACACAAAATATTAGTGTCCTAGAGGCAAATTACAAAGTCTTAACCCATTGGTATCTAGTCCCTGATAGAATTTCTAAATTTGCCCCCTCCTTCTCACTTGCCTGTTTTCCAGATTTCGGAGGTTTGGATACCCACCTTCCCATTTGGTGGTCCTGCCCTGTAGTGAATGCCAGCTGAGTAGAAACATTCCAGATACTCTCTACTCTGTTTTCAAAATTGATCTTCCCTAACCCCCTTGTAGTCCTTTGAATACCCACCCAGAGTATATCACATCAACCCAGCTCAAACAATTTTTACAGATGACTAAGGCAGCTAAATAACCACAGTAAGACCCCCGGTCACACTGGGTGCGACATGGCATGCAATTTGCAAATTGCATGCCAAGTCGCATCCTATTGTCTGCAATTACAGCAGTCATATTGGTGCGGTTCTGACTTTGTTGGAGCCACAACAATTTCTAAAGTAGTGCATGCACTACTTTTGGTGCGATTTGCATAGACATCTCTGTCAGATGTCTTGCAAATCGCACCTCAAATCACAATGACATCCCGACTTTGAAATCGTATGACTTTACTGTAAGTCGTACAATTTCAAAGTTAGGATCGGTAGGAGCGGGGTGTAAAGGCATGGAAATCCCTCTCTTAACCTAATAGCAAGCCTTGGTCCTCTCTAAGGTTGAAGCAATCTTGCAAGAGTTGTTAAATACGCCACTAATTCCCCAGAAACTTTGACACAACGCTGCTACTTCCTCGCTGACTAGTTTTTATCTTTGACCCCACTATACTGTCATAACCATGCCACTCAGCAGACCCCCCGACTCTTATCCCCCCCCCCTTTCCTTTCCTTCCTTCCTCCCTCTCTGTTTTTCTCTTTCCCTTTTATTTTGCCAAAGCCTAAGTGGCCTGGGATATCCCAATATCAATGTGCATAGGTCTTAATATCCATTTAAAACACTAAAAAAAATAATAACAATTATTTATAAGTATGAAATAAAAGAAGATTGATGCACAGTAAGCAGCAGCAGATGAAAATGCTGTACATTGACTTTGTTCCTTACCTCCTGGCCACATCGGCCAGCATAGCTATCATTAAGAGCCTACTCTTCACACTCCTACACTTGTTCTTTACCTCTGGACACCAGTGCCACCAAAATGACCAACAAATCCCTGACTGTGCATAAACCGGTTTCTTGGAACACAGGCCCATCATGAAGTGCGGTTAACTCATGCAGGCTAGGATCTGGATATCCAGCCTCACATACGTCACCATTGTGCCTCAAATGTACAAAGATCATTTTCTCCAGAGAGGAGAGTGCTTCAGCACAACATCAATACCTGTAGCCCTTAATGCTCTCTGAGGTGGACCAGCTAGATAAATTTAAGATGATGCTGTAGAAAGAACTGAAGACCACAACCAGTAAGCTTACAGCTAACATGTGAAATCAGGGAACTGACTGGACAAAGAGATGGCCTAGAATACAGAATGGATGCCACATCCACTGTTATCAAATGCCATAAAACATTTTTGAGACTATCGGCATTAAAATAGATCAGGTCCTTCTGTGCCTAAAGGACTTACACAGAAGTAATCTCAGACTGTGGTGTCTCTCTGAATCTATCAAACATTTAACATCAACCTTTTATGGCTTTCTACCAAGAATTAGTGTCTACCTTCACAGTAGAATGCTTAGAATGTGATTGCATTCACAGAATGTTGGGCCCCATAAGACCAGATTCCCCACCTTGTGATATAATTATTAAATCCACATTCTATTGCATGAAAGAAACTTTACTACAGGCTGCCTAGGACAAATATAGACTACTTTCCGGGCCACTGGTACCAGTTATTTGAGGAACTTGCTCTGATAACTATTCAGAAATGGTGCCAGATGATACTATTTACTACCACCCTGTTCCCTCCAGTCTCAAGCTCAAATGGGGGTTCCTTTCAAATTAATCTTTTTTCACACGAGCCAAACCCCCACTGTGTTGACGCTGGAGGAAGCAACAACCTATATTGATTCTAGTCTTTCCAAATTCTAAGCACCAAAAATAGTAGGGCACCGATTAGCGTAAGGTAAAAACAGCACTTTATTCTAAGGCACACTTACATCAAAGAATCTTGTAACCAGTTCAGGTGGCCAATGTGGATGGTGCCAGGGGCGGACTGACAACTCATGGAGCCCCCGGGCAATAGGGGATGTGTCCCTGTGTCCTCTCCTACACTCAAACCACACCCAAAAAAGCCTATGAAAAGGTACCAGGGGCATCTCATGGAGGCCCCTACTGACCCCGGGCCCTCGGGCAGTTCCCAACTGCTCAAATGGTCAGTCCGCCCCTGGATAGTGCATAAACAGCTTGCAGTAGTCTGGATGGACAGATGAGCAGCTGCAAAGCAAAGAAAAGAGAACACTGACAGAAAGGAGGTGATGGGCCACTATGTGTTTCTAAGGTCCCGCCTCCTTTTCCAAACTGGCCAGTTGTGAGAAGGGGAGGACATTTTAAGATATTAAGCTGGTGTGCTATGGCCAATCAGATGAAAGTAGGAGGAGCTACCAGAAGAATGTAAAATACCACTGACTGCGAGATCACTGGAGGACAGTGAGACACAGCAAAACCAGACTGGATAGAGATTGTTACATGTATGGGAAGCACATTAAGGTGTAGATACAAAAAAGGAAATAAGGGTTGTCTCTGGCCATTAAACTGAGTTATCTAGCACACACATAAAAGCTTTGGAACATAATATATAAACAGTTAAAAATATGACACAGATAGGTTGGTTTACTAAAACTGGAGAGTGCATGATCTGGTGCAGCTGTACATGGTAGCCATCATCTTCTAACCTCAGCTTGTCATCCCCTAAGGAAGTCACGTGAACCTGTGATGCAACATAGTGGGGGGAGCATTTATCATCACTGCTGTAGACCGGAAGTGGATGGGCCACCATTTTCCATGAGCCTATTCTAATGCACTTGCACCAGTACCAGTTCATATTATAAGTTTCGTTTTTACTCTTGGGCTATATTTTTAACCACTTCAGTACTGGGCACTTTCACACCTGTGGAATATTTTGAATATTTGTTTGTCACAAATGGGAACACATAGAGTGTCTATAGTGGTAGTAAGGTGTATAACCACATATAGTAAATCTCTATTATTTTACATTGTTTCATGAGTGATGTTGGTCAGTTTTAATGAAGTCAGTACATTCATACCATATTGATTGTGCTGAGGTTTTCTAATATATTTACCTCCTAGATTGGGTCCACATTTTACTAGAAACATTCTGATTGTGCAGGTGTGCACAGCCCTTTTAGTTGAGGGGTTGACTATGGTTTAGGGTTCCTTCCTCTGGAGACAAGCTGCTGCATGGGTAATCTGTGTGGAAAAAATACTGGGAACTGAGAGAGTGTCTGTTCTGGCCTTCAGGAGAGGTGATCTGCACCTGCAGCTATAATCCCAGTACAATCACTTTAACCTGAGAGTGGTGATGCATAGGTACATACTGAGGATGTGAAGAGATTAAAATAAAAATCATGTACTTTTTGTCTCTTTGCATTGGAACACAGGTATTCTTTAGGGCAGTGATTCTCAACCTTTTGTCAGACAAGGCACCCTTTAAAATTATGGACAGTCCCGAGGCACCCTTTAAAATTATGGACAGCCTTGAAGCACCCTTTAAAATTCTGGATAGCCTTGAAGCACCCTTTACAATTATGGACAGTCTTGAAGCACCCTTTAAAATTATGGACAGTCTTGAGCCACTCTTTAAACTTATGGACAGTCTTGAGCCACTCTTTAAAATTATGGACAGTCCCGAGGAACCCTTTAAAATTATGGACAGTCCCGAGGCACCCTTTAAAATTATGGACAGTCTTGAGGCACCCCATTCTAAAATGTGAAAAACTATTCTAATAGTTTTATATAACGCAGCAACATCCACACATGTAGGATACTCAACATTAGAGGTGATTTATTCTTCCAATGTAAATACACTTTTGGACACTGGTACTGAGTAGTATTCTAGTGTTTCTCTTCTCTCTCAGTTTTTATCCATCACTAAGCTAATGTGACCCCAGCACTGATGGAGGGGTACAGGGGAGGATCAAACTAGGATGCTGTGCAGGCAAATGACATCCTCCTTATCAACTGATGACGTCATTGTGAGGACGCTGGTGGCTAGAAGGCAGTAATGGTGCACAATGAAAACCTGTGGCTTTGTGTAACTAAAAAGGCAGGCTTATTCCACCCGCTGACTTATATACACATTTTGGGCAATTTTTAAACATTTTGCCGAGGCACCCCTGAAGAAACCTCAAGGCACCCTGGGCACCCTGGTAGAGAAAGGCTGCTTTATGGCAGCAGTTTCTCCAATGCGGCTATTCTTTGAATAACAGTCAGCATATGTATTTGCCACATTTGTATAGTACTATCTCTTTGTATGTTATTTAATCTTTCTGCAGGTCAGTTACTCAGAAATATTGAATAGGATCACCATGATTGGTAGCTATCATATTTATCCCTTGGTTTACACCTATGTGTTTTTTAGTGCATTTTGCAGAAGCACATTACAGTTCATTTAAGCTGGTTTCCTATGGGACACATTCACAACTATGTGTTTTCAGCTGCCTTTTTTGAAAAGGGTTAGGGACTGTTTTTAAGCAGATTGCATTTTTGGTGCAATAGACTGCAATGGAACCACACCAAAAAAATGCAAGTGTCGCACTTTTGATGCATTGTGCTTCTGTTTTATGACCAATAGGAAAGTATTGAGAATGACATTGATGCGACTTTACACTCTTTGGTACTTAAGTTGCATCAAAGTCTCACCGAAGTAGTGCAGGAACCTTTTCAAAGTTATTGTGACTTTAAGTTGCATAGATTTGAAGGGGTTCCATTGCCATCCATGAGCTGCGACTTGTCATTTGACTTTATGTGCCCAAAGTTGCATGTTAGGGTTGGGGTTAAATGTTAGGGTAAGGGGTAAATGCTAGGGTTAGGGTTAAAGGTCAGAGGTTAAGGGTTAAATGTTAGGTTTAAATGTTGAGGGAAATGTTATGGTTAGGGTTAATGGTTAGGATTATAGTTAAGGTTAACCGCTTTAGGACCACCCTATAGCAGATAAACTGCTACAGGGCAGCACCTGTGCGCAGAATCATGTATATATACCTACCCGTGCCGCCTTTCTAGCAGAAAAAAAATCCCATTATCTATATCGCCATTTGTAAACGCTATAACTTTCATGTAAACCAATTAATTTACACATATTGGGATTTTTTTTTAGCAAAGACATGTCACAGAATACATTTTGGCCTAAATTTATGACAAAATTTGATTTTTTAAATTTTTTTTACTGGACATGTTTAATAGCATAAAGTCAAAAACATTGTTTTTTTCTCAAAATTGTCAGTGTTTTTTTGCTTATAGTGCAAAAAATAAAATACCACCAAAAGAAAGCTCTATTCGTGGGGAAAAAAGGCCATAAATTTCATTTGGGTGCAGCATTGCATGACCGTGCAATTGTCAGTTAAATTAATGCAGCGCCGTAACGCAAAAAATGGCCTGGTCAGGAAGGGGGGTAAATCCTCAGGAGGGCAAGTGGTTACGGTAAATATTAAGGTTAGGGTTAAGGTAAGCATTCTAACCCTTAACCCTATCCCTTACCCTAACCATTAACTCTTAACCCTTAACCCTAATATTTAACCTTAACCCCTAATACTAACCCTAATATTAAACCCTAGCCCTTGACCCTAACCCTTAACTCTAACCCTAACATTCCATTTTGGACACCTAAAGTCACGTGAAAAGTTGCAGCCCATTGATTGTAATGGAACCCCTTTAAATCTATGTACCTTAAAGTGGCGGCAACTTTGAAAAGGTCCCTGCACTATTTGATACGACTTTGAGTGCCAGAAAGAGTAAAGTTGGATAAAAGTCACATCAAAGTTGCACTCAATACTTTCCTATTGGCCAAAACAAAAAAAGCATAACATATAAAAAAGCATAACAAATTTGAGTTTAAAAACACAAAACGCACCACAAAACTCAATGGGAAAACGCATCAATTGTAACACGCATAGGTGTGAATCTAGCCAATAAGAAAGTTAGTCTACATATTCTTTCCTTTAATACATTAAACAGTGAGTGCTTTTGAACTGTGTTGTGTGATATTCATGTATACAAAAGATGCACAGAGGACACACACAAAAACAACCCAGACACACACGACTGTCCTATCATTTTGGCAAGCAGTCAATTATGATATATTTTGTAATATACTATGTGAACATTACAGGTGTTACAGGTGAACTAATTAGCACAATACACAGATATCCTAGAGTTTACTTCCTTTGATGCTACCTTCAGCACTGTTGCTATTAAAAGCATGAAAAGATAAAAGACATATGAACAGAACACATGTCTAGGATCAAAAACGAGACCTTCGTTCATCTGTCTTAATCTTAAAAAAATTTGACTTTTCAAAGGCTAGGATGCAATCTTTTATGAATAATTTTTGTACATTTTACACAGTTAGCTAATGAATGCCTTGTATAATTATATTACTAATCCTCTAGTTCTTTAAGAAAAATATATTTCACATATTTGGAATTTTACTGACATTCAGTAAATAAACTTTGAAATATAATGCCCCAGATTTAAAAATATTTAGGTTTAGATGTCCAGAAACAGTATAGCAGGACAGGGCTGTGAAATCATAAAAGCATTTTTTTCACCATGCATGCAAAAAGTGTTTCTTATGATCCTTTGCAATCTCAACATTGTAGGCTTGTAGGCAGGTGAGGTCTGCAGCTAGGGGAGGAAGTCGAGAGAAACTGAGTAGCTTGATGGTTTCCAACCAATACACTACCTGCCTGGAGTTTGCATGTTCTCCCTGTGCCTACAGAGGTTTCCTCCTGGTATTCCGGTTTCCTCCAACACTCCAAAGACATGCTGGTAGGATAATTGGTTCCTGTCTAAATTGTCCCTAGTATGTGTATGTATGAATGTGAGTTAAGGACCGTAGATTGTACACTCCTTGATTGCAGGGACTGATTTAAATGTGCAATAAAAGTATGTAAAGTACTGTGTAAATTGATGGCGCTATATAAGTACCTGTAATAGATAATAAAATACATTTTAGCTTTCATGATGTAATGAAACTGATCTATTTATTGAAGATTCACATAACTTTTACTCAAGATTCACACAATTTTTTTAATTATTCATGGGTGAAAACATTCATAAATAAACCCCTAAGTGTCTCAGTAATTTATAAACTTATAAAAACAATTTTTCCTGCACATGTGGTCATGCAGTAACAAACCTTATGGGTATATTTATAAATGTTTCCACACAAGATTCACTAAAAAAATTAACCCAGGACGATTTTCTAGCTGAATCCAATTAGTGAAATGTGCAAAAGTTTGGTGAAAGTTGTGTGAATCTTTTATGAAAAAAATGTATATAAATATACTTTAAGATGTCAATTAAATAACAAATTTTCATAGCTATCCATCCAGAAACTCTGCTTGTACATTCATTCTGTGCAAACTGGGCAAAATCTGAATGTTTTTAATGCTATTTTCTCTTCTGAATCAAAGTTTTTCATTATGGGCAGTAGGCCACTAGGAGCATAGGCTTGCAGAGACCATGTTATAATTTTCAGAGTTAGGACTACAGTACACTGGGGTGCCATGACATGGCCTTTGCAGCTTACACATATATTTGCAAATGTGTGCAAACTAAACCTCTTATTTTAACATGAACTGTTTGACAGGGTAATTCGGTTTGTTGTATTTTGATATGTGTCACCCTTCCATGTGCTCCTTGCTGCAATGGCCAGTTATAGGTTGGGGTGGTTGATTGCACTGTTAGCAAATTGATGAGGGGACACACTGGATACCTTCGCTGCCATTGTTCTATTGCTGGGGATCCAGTGCGTCCCTATACTTTTAAGGAAGTATAGGCTCCCTCCAGGCATACCTGCCCTCAATCTATCCATTATTAAATATGTGCTCCAACTTTGGAGACTCTAAAATGCACAACGTTAGGACTGTTTGTTGCAGGCTGGTTGGTAAGAGAACTGGGAATTTTTGTTTGTTGTTCTTTACATTTCTTAATAATCCTCTGCTTTGTTCTTTTGCCTTTTTTATTCTTCTGCTGCACCAGATTTAGTTACTTGGAGTGCATTTTGGGGAAACTCATCCCCTTCCTCAGCCTAGTAACTTGACAATTTAGTGGCTATAAGTAGAGGACTTGCTTATAAATTGAATTTTGATGGGCTGAATATACCTGGAGTGTGGCTCAAAGCAGGTTCAACAAACATCACTAAAGTTCGGGAGCAGAAATCAAACTCTTTGAAGTCAATAAAAGTTGAATGTTTAATAAATGGTAATGGCCATTTTAAAGGCTAATAGGCAAGGGATTGTCAAACAAATGGCATGAGGGCTGGGCACTACCCTGGGGACACTACCCAATGCAAATGTTTTTATTTTTATTTTTGTATAGTAAAGAGCAGCGATTTTAGTAATGCTTTAAGTAAAATATTAAAAATGCTAAATCATATTACATAACATGCTTGGTTCATACCATCAAAGTGGAACTTTACTCATAACAACGTGATAAAAAATAATGTTCTTTAGCAAGGAACATTCCACATTAATAATAATGTTACCAAAATTAGTGCGTCCTGTAAATTGCATCCAACATTGCTCCAGTTTTTTCTTGCTGGAGGCTGCCATTTTGATGAAGCCCAGAGAGCAGTTAACCTTTAGGCTGTCAGCAGATCGGCCTCTACAAATTTGTTACAGTTCCTAAAAAAAGAGCACAACTG